TTGTTAATCATATGCACAAAACTTCATTTGCAAACTGTCCCCCAATGGATGTTTGCTAAAACTCAGTGTCTTGAAATGTGGCAGCACACAGAAGTGACTACAGATCAGGACATCTGTATTCTACTTAGCTGTATAAAATAGGCAGGCCATTTATTTTCAACATAATTTAAGAAGCATAGTTGTTGTTGTTGTTGTTGTTGTTGTTTTTAAAAAAATGCTTTTATGATTATCTCTTGGTAGAAGTCTACATTGAATTCTGAACCAGCAACCTGGAATCATATACACACCAAAGAAGCAAACTGGAAGCAATTGCAGCATGGTTTCATTTTGTTTAAAAATTTCATACCACTAAGCAAATTGGTCATGGAAGTTCTAGCTAACCCAGAAGCAATTTAAGACATGGGGCAATCATATACCAAAAGAACCTTCCTTCATACATAAAACAATGGCCTATTGCAATAGAATATTCAGTACAGAGGACATTTAAAAGGTAACCATGCATTTTATGGAAACAGGGATATTAATGGGCACATTGTTTGAAGAACACTGAAACATGAAAGTGATTACAAATAGCTTTCACCAGAACTCCCCCTTCCTATTTACTATCAATACAGATTAATATACATTATTTCTTTCTTGATGTTTATGGTAACAATGCTGGTGTACTTAATCTTACTTCTCTGCCTGAGAAGCTCAGCACTTCAACTAAGTTCCATATTTTAGTTTACAGTCTTTCCCATTGGGTCTTCAAATTTATAGGTACAATATCTTGCCAAATCAATCATGCATCTTAAATGGTTCTTAAGTACCATCTGTGAATACATTTCTACAGTGCTGTGTGTGAAATCCATCTAAAGAATTAAAGGCCATGAACCTGGACATTTTGTTCCTCACCAAGGAAGCATTCCCATTGTCTTCAAAGAAAATGTTGCCTTTGTGAAGGGGGGAGAAATAGATACTGCAGGTGGGTTTCAAAGCTATTCATCTTGAAGGCTCACTGCTTTTTTCTACAGTAAGTATCTGTCTTATAAGTTCTAATTTCTAATGTTGCAGATAGTACTGTGTAGTCTAAAACAGTTTCTTTCATCCCTGCCAAAACTGAAAGGTTTCTTTCCTTGAGGCACTTCAGTGGTGATTTTGCACTTAAAAACTTGACAAAACTGAGGTCAAACAGAAGCCAGAGTCAGAGCAGTTACTTTTCAAAGATGCCCTTGGTGTTCTGTTTATTTGTTATTTTTTATTGGACACCAAATAGAAGGGATATGCAATGGCCAGGTGCTTAGGGGAAATACAGTGTAATCATCTGCATGTTTACTCAGAAATATATCCTTTGAGTTTAATGGGGATTACTACAAAGTAAATAGATATAGGAGTGCAGCCTCAAAAATGTTTTGGAAATGATGAGCTCTTTCTTATAGTTTCTTACTTATGATGAAATAAGAATAAAAAGAGATGCTTTTGTGCATGGATACCCATCTAATCCAGCATTCTGAATGGAACTGAATAAATAAATAAATAAATAAATGCATCCATCAATGGAACTTCACCAGTAGACCATGAAGAGAATGGTAGTTGTGGTGGTGGTGGTAATGATGAAAATCCTCTACCTTGTTATTTGTACCTTGCAGTAAATATGACAAATTCATATTCTGCCTCCAAGTATGGGGATTCCATTAATATCAGAATAAACAGTCACTTAGGGGGGTTGCAGACTGTCAGAAATAGTGCAAATTGAGTCCACTTTTAGGATTAGGGTTAGTGCTAGGGAATCATGGAAATTGTTTTGTTTTGTTTTTTCTGAGACATTGAGACTTCTCTGTCAGAGAGCTCTGGTGCCACAATAAAATACACTTTCCATGATTCCCTAGCCCTAACCCTAATCCTAAAAGTGGACTCAATTTGCACTATTTCTGGCAGTCTGCAACCCCCCTAAATGTACCTAATCCTCTTTTAAAGGCCACTGTCATATCTCATGGGACAAAATTATACAGATTAATTTGGTATGTTTAAAATACTTCTCTGCTTTTCTCACTTCTCTAAGTGGGAAGGAACTCCAAAAAGCAGCATTTCCACATCATTTTCAAGGTCCTGGTGGCTGATGGCAAAAATGAAAGGCACATCACCCCCACATTATATAGTCCACATATAATTATGTCTGGGAACAAGTCCTTGCTCCATTCTGTAAGTTGTGGAGTCTCAATGCAAAAGCCATTAGAATCTAATGGGTGATCAGCATAGGTGATGTCTGATTGCATGGCCAAAATGAAATCACAGTAGGAAAGATCATGTCAAACAGGTAAAATCTACTGAAATTGTGAAATATAAAATAGTAAGTCTGGTCAAATGAGATGAGACAAAGCATGACATACAAAAATAAGGCAGAAGCTGTCTGACATAGAAGGCAGAAGAAAAAAGACCCTTGCATAGGTCCAAGTGATTTCTGCCTGCAGATTATCTTCCCTACAGGACAATAGGAGGACTTTGTCTCAACTAGAAGCTAAAGGTAACTGAAACTTTATGATGTGAGTAGACAGTTAAAGAAAGTTCAATTGACTTTGTAATCTTAGGGGCTGTACATATGGCCCCTAGGGGGCAGCAGGACACTGCCCTTTCCTTGCCAGATCAGGGCCACAGCAACCACTCACCGC